AACTGAATGATTGGCAATTTTACCTCTACCTCACGCTAAATGGAACAAACTGAGCAATATTTACAAAATTGCGAGAGACGGGAAGTCATCGTGCGTTTACCGGTTTTCCAGAATAGAACAAAACTAAATTTCAATCCTCTTTGTAAGCAAAGTAATGAAGTAATCTATCAAACACGAAAAACCGTGTTTCCTACATTTCCAACACCGAGAAGAGAGTTGAACATACGACGCGCAGCGGAGAATTTTTGACGAACTTCGACGTGTTTGGAAATGTGGTCAAACACTGTCTTGAGTGTTTGATATATCTTCTCAATCGAAACTTAAACTAAGCAGAAAACGGAGAATTGAAACCATAAAATTATTAATGAGTTTGAAAAACACGTAATCAACGAAGCAAATTTTCACTGAACTTTTTTCACTTGTTGAACATGAACGCGTCGGTGGTATAGTGGTGAGCATAGCTGCCTTCCAAGCAGTTGACCCGGGTTCGATTCCCGGTCGACGCATTTGTTTACTTTTTTCCAATAAAGTCATTCATAAGTCGACAAATTCATTTTTCTAGTATTTGTTTGTTATCGGTACAAATTGGTGACCGTTATCAGTTTTATAAAGAATAGAGGGGTACAATTTTGCCATTTAGCATTTATTATAAGAAAGAATGAGTTATCATGCAGATAATCCCCATTCCGTCTTTCTTGATATAAGTAAATGTTATCTTTAAGGATAAAGGTGAAGCCAAGGTGAATCTGAAATCACATCTGTACGAGACGAATAATCTGAATAACTGAATAACATTCCACGTGCAAGTTGACTCGGATTGCCTAGTTTTCACCAGAGAGGTTTACTACGGTTACTTTCGTCACTAAACCACAGTTATTAGAGAAGCTGTTTACACAGAACTAATTAACTAAAGTAGGCAGAATACAACGGACGTACGGTTTGAGCTTTTCTCGGACAGGAAGGGTTGCAATGCCATACAAAAAGTATATTTGGAAACCATAAAATGTCTGAATTTGCTAACGGAATAGTCCAACGCTGAACAAAGGTCGTTGTCTATTCGGAGTTTAATTATAGCGAACACTGCGCAAGGCTGTGATTACGAGCGAAAACTCCCCTAAACTATAAAGCTTTGAAGATATATAGTGGAAAGAAAATTCTGATATCTCGCAGAACACTTTTATCTATCACTAGAAACTTCAAACGGAGAAGATACACGAGATTTTCGTCGTGTCTGGAAAAAGTGTTCGTAGAGTAAAGTGTGTATCCGTTCATAGAGTCTTAAGAAGCTGCATGGGCCGTGTAGAAAATATATTTTGTATTTGTTTACCACACTCTCCTAGACATGACAACAACAGTAATATCAAAGGGATTTTTGTTTTGCTTTTACAAGGTTTAAAGTAACAGTATGAGTACCTCATAATCAATGTA